ACAGGGCTCAGCGCCCGGGTGATGGCTCCATGGCACGAGGAGCCCGGCTACAGCCTGACGGGACACCTGGCCGGTGTGCAGGGCTCGCCAGTGCCAAGGGGCGGCTGCCCTGGCATGTACGGACAGGAGTGGGAAGGAACTGGGCCGCGGGGGCTGCTTTCACCCCTCGGGGCCCCCCAGCAGCTCCATGCTTACCAAATTTTGCAGCAGGGTCAGGGCAGCTGCTCCCGCTGTGCCCACGCTCAGCTGCTCTCCTCTCTCCCTTTCCCACTCTCCCCAGCTGCAGAGCTCAGCTCCCGGCTGCTGCTGCTTGGGCTGCAGCTCAGTCCTGGAAATGCCAAATCCCCTTTTCCCCCAGGACCCAGCAGGGCCTTTTCCCCCCAGGTCTGTGCTCAGGACTCGCCTGCCTCTGTGCTGCCCAGCCTGGGGCCCGCGGGTGCAGCCGTGGCACTGCTGGGGGCTGTGGGGGGGATGTGGGGTGCCCTCCCCGGGCTCGGCATGGGGAGCGCTGCGAGGAGCCGCGCCAGCCAGATGTGCAATGAACAGCAGCCGTGTGTGCCAGCAACCCCTGGGCACGCCTGGCCACGGGACGGGGACGGCGAGCGCCCGCCCTCCCCGCCCGGCTTTGGGAGAAACGACAGCGCACGCAGCCCGGTTTCACGTCTGTTATTTTTTTAATACTGTTCACGTCTAAAATGACCAAAACCAAGAAAAGTGCTCCCGGCCCCTCGCCCTGCCTTAGGCGGAGAGCATGAGGGCCGTGGGCTCCCTGGCCATGCACTCCTCCTCCCTGCCCAGTGCTGGGTGCAGGCAGGTGTGCAGGCAGGGCACCCTGGCACTGCGGCCAGGCTGCTCTGCGCCCGCTGCCAGGAGAGGGGACTGCGCACAGCTCCGGTGAATGCATTTAAATAATAAGCTAATGAGCGGCAAAAGCAAAGGCATCTTAATCACGTCTCCTAAAATAGCAATTGGCAGCTGTTCCTCCTGCCCCGGCAGCGAGGGGGCCCTGCCCGCCCTGTGGCAGCTCGGGGGCAGGTGAGGGCACGGCACTCCGGCAGCCGGCACCAGGCTGTTGAGGCACTCGCACCGCTGGCAGCTGGCGGTTATGGTAAGTGTGCGGTCACGCAGGGTCTGGCGGGGTGTGTGGGGAGCGGTGCTCAGGCTAGGTGCAGCGTGAGCGGGTGCTCAGTGCGGTGGCATGGGGCGGGTGCTGCCGCGTCGCTGGCGGCACAGACCCAGCTGTCTCCCGGTGCTGCAGGGACACGGGGCTGGGCTCCTCTCCTGCGTCCCCGGGAAGGCAACGCCGGCCGAGCTGCCCGCTGTGGGGCAGGCCCATGGGCCCCGAGGC